CAAATTATCTAACTCAACAGTGCTAAGCATATTGCTGATAAGAACAAATGATGTTTGAAGTCATGAAATTTTCGATGATCCACAGGTCGAAAGTTGGGGTTTATTGGAAATTTCGATTTTCAAAAACTCATTTGTTCTCATCAGCAACATGCTTAGCACTGTTGTGTTAGATGTTCAGTACAACTTTGCAAGGTTTTCGTTGACTTTGGAGAAAGAAAAATGACTTCAAAGAAAAGCGCCGGGATTATCAGAGATCATACAAAAGCTGGAAAATGTGGTTCATACAGCTTCTCGCTCCTGTTCAACATGTTCATAGTGAAGGATAGTAGGAATACTTACGGACAGGTACATAACGTGAAATCCAGATAACTGGTGCTTCAGAATATGAAGCTTTTTTAAACTGCGATCCCCTCTCCGGCGGGGATCTTAGTGCATGCAGCTTTGAGAAATGGCGCGTTGCCCATAGAGGCACATGGGCCTAAGCGCGCTCTAATCTCGTTGAGTGCTACGACCGGGCTCGTAATTATGAAGGAGGGACTAAAACATAAAAGTATAGATAATGTTGGTAAGATGAGTCTAGAAAGCAAATCCAAAGTGTTGTACTTCAACGAACAATACCTTGGAGGAGCACTGACGCGCGTTAGGTGTGTGCCACTACGTTAACGATAGAGCTATCAGGGTGTCTCGTAATTTTTACAGCTTTTACTTTCTCCTACAATAACTCATACTTATTTCTAAACAGGATATCCGGTAACATCGTTAGAGCAAGTGAGTCTTTACAAGTAGTACCTAAATATTGCTCAAAGTTTCTTCTACATAAAGTTCAAAGCCGAAATCTAAGAAGGCCTGAATGCCCGAATAGTAAAAAAAACTCGTATCTTCGTTTGAAAATTCCTACGAACTTTGAATTTAGATATATTTCGAAAAAGTTAGTTTGAGAAATATTCAATATAGCGGAAAGAACCGAAAAAGACAACTTATCGTGTTTTGGCGTATTTTGGTGTATGTATGTTTTCGAGTTCTGTCCATGAAACAAGAACCAAATTTATTGAATTATATTGATTTATGTAAATATCAGATGTATTAGGGTGTCCCACAATTTTTTACCGTTTTTACTATTAGGTTGTCCGGAAATTAATGCCCGTTTAGAATTTCAACTGCAATAAGTCCTACACTTCTCATTTCTAGATAGGTTGCAAAGTACAATCCGATAGAGCAAAGCAAGCTCTACAAGATGGCTGTCTTGCTTTTGCAAAAGCTCTTATCCACCTCGAGTTTCGAACCAAAAACTAAAAATACTCAGCAGCCCGAAAAATCGAAAAAAATCGTAACTCAGTTTATAAAATTTCTACAAAAATTCTTACTTGCTCACGTAAACACTATCCACATAAAACATCTATATACGCCTTTGCCGTATTTTTTCCTTCGTTAGAAACCAAGAAAACGGAAATTTTTGTGCATTTGCCAAAGTGATGCTATGCCGTCCCCCACACAAGTAGTTGTATACCACAAGCTTGTAGAAGTATGAAGGTAAATTCTCAGCTCTCTACAAGCTTTAGTTCTCAAGAAATTAGAATTTTAGCTTGGACCACCTAACTAGGAAAAGCTATATTCGGTATTTTTCGAGAACTAAAGCTTGTAGAGAGCTGAGAATTTAAATCTGCACTTCTACAGGCTTGTGGTATACAACTACCTGTGTGGGAACGGCACAGCGTCACTTTGGCAAATGCACAAAAATTTCCGTTTTCTTGGTTTCTAACGAAGGAAAAAATACGGCAAAGGCGTATATAGATGTTTTATGTGGATAGTTTTTACTTGAGTAAGTAAGAATTTTTGTAGAATTTTTATAAAGGGAGTTACGATTTTTTTCGATTTTTCGGGCTGCTGAGTATTTTTAGTTTTTGGCTCGAAACTCGAAGTGGATGAGAGCTGTTGCAAAAGCAAGATGGCCGTCTTGTAAAGCTTGCTTTGCTCTATCGGATGGTACTTTGCAACCTATTTAGAAGTGGGAAGTGTATGACTTATTGCGGTTGAATGTTAGAACGGGCATTAATTTCCGGACAACCTAATACAATCGCCGTCTCTTTGCCTTGGGTGGAGGACTACATGTCGCCGAATTTGGAAGAGTCCCGCGCGGATTCCCTGCAGGAACGCATGTCCGCGCATGTACAATGGTGCGTATTTGTCGCAAATGACCGCGAGGACCGCCCTTTTTCGGCGACATATAGTCCTCTACCCCTTTGCCTTTTCCTTCAATTTTTCCTTCAACTGATGGGCTTGAGTAATCATTCGAAGGGGCAAAGCAAGCTCTTCAAGATGGCTATGAAGAATCCGCCTAAATCTAATCACCGGAAGTTTTCAGCTTAAAGGCAGTGGCTCGGCAAATCTCAGCCTAGTCAAATTTTCACTTACCTGGGGTTTTTCAATACGCTGATCCCGAAAATCCACTTGTGAAAGCTTGAAAACGGCGAAAATGAGCGTTTTCTAATGCCCTTCCCTTTGATATTGGACAAGTGGAGCAAGGCCGATGACGCTAAATCGTGGCAGGACCCAATGGTTATAGCGTTGCGGCGGGCAGCTTCCAATGATGAGAAGGAAATTGCCAACTCGTCCAGATGCGTGTAAGATTGGCCTGCGCGTGTAAGTTCGAGAGCGATTTTCTCGGCAATAGTTGGGCCATGAGGAACCTACCGCGTTGAAACTCCGAGTTGTTGGTTTTTGCCGATCTACTGCCTTTAAATCTGATAGCAGTCGAAAACGAACTTTTCTTTCAAAAATCGTATCTCCTCCTCAAAATGTCCTAAAACGTTTAACCTAGCGTATAGCACAATTGAATGTGCGATGCTGACACATCGCAAATTCAATGTGCTATTTCCCTATTTTTTTTCATGGCTAGAAATAAAGAAAAAATGAATGGGGTAAAGTGGCAAACTTTGCCCCTAGACATCCTGAGCTCTTTCCACGCACGTAATCATATAGCTCATACTCAAAGAAGTACGATCATGTATTTGTAAACTTCTAAGGTCCCAGTTTTCGAAAAATGCTGATATTTAGGGTAACTTTGAGAATCTATGAGACACCCTAATAGAAAGTGGACGCCTGAGCAAGAATGAAGCCCGTTAGCAAACTTTTTTAACGGAGATATAATTTCCTCTTGGCTTTTTAGAAACTAGACCTTCTTACAAGATCTTCTTACATCTTCTTGTTAGATTTCGGCTTCGAACTTTTTATGGGAGGAACCTTGAGCATGTATAATATTTGAGTGCCTATATAGGGTATCTTATAGGGCTCGCTTTGCTTTGTCGAATGGTATCGCAAAAGTTGAAAAACGAGAAGGATATAAGTTGATAAGGTAAAACAAGGTAAAAACAAATATGAAACACCCTAATTATGTGAAGAATTTAATGTGGCTATTTTCATAAAATTTAGTCCCTGCATTATTCATCAAAATGGTGAGCTTGCTCCTTGACATTCAACAAATACTCGTTGAATGTTTGATTTCACTTGATTTATACGCTTGTTTATCTGCAACGTAACTACGAATGCTCTAACATTTGTAGCCTGTCGTGAAAACAAATGTAGTGAAAAACAAGCGTAGGAACTAACTAAGCCATGGCACAAAATTCAAAAAGCATTAATATCACCGGATCTCCATCGACAATTGGCCGCTTGAGATAATAAAAATGCAGAATACCCAAGCTACTAGCAGTTTAATTGAAGACAAATTGTAACCTAATAGGTTAAAAGCCATTCACAATATAGTCATCCGCAATAATTTCCAGTACTTCTCTCGCTATCGTTATACTAGAGAGAATAAAGTAACTGAGTAGCCGGGTAATTGCAACAGAGATGTTGTCCTTACAAGTTGCTAAGTGCTCGTATTCGCTCAGAAATAATAAATTATGAGGGCTGAACTTGTTAGTGGCTCGACTTTGTTTATACATAAGGCGGAACTAATCTCAAAACGTCTCAAGTTGAAGTTTACTTACATGATGCTGTCATGATTTCATGGGTTTACCGTTGATTTCCTTTCTTGATTTGTATTATTTGTATCATTAAAAAAATTTGGAAGATGTTTGCGTTTTGCTATGGTGTAATTTACAATTTCCTTCTCTTTACAAAATCCACTTATAGATGTATGCTGGACAGGTCCTATTGTCAATTTATACTTGGTTTGCGACATTTGTGTATTTGATCCTCATTTGCAAGCTGATTCAATGGCGTCGAATTATGCCTGCATTCAACTCCTCATACTATCTATTATTCATTCTGCAATTTATTGCGGATCTATACGCCATTTTTGTGGTAGAAATTATATTACGACCAAGAAAATTCAATTATTTTGGACTAGCGTATTATGTGGAACACATGCAATTTTTTGCTACATTTTCATACGGCAATATCGTAGGTATAAAGACGAGTACAGCCTGCGCCCGTATAATCATTGCACTCAATCGTTTTACTGCCTTCTATTCTCCACTGCGACACGAAGAGGTACTTAATCTTTAATTCATCTGACTTGGCGGCTGGAAGGCGGGCTTTGTGACCTAATTAGAGCCGCGGCACCCGTGACGCAGTCTGCGTCTCTCTCGCGCGCGTGCTCTATGATCCCCACGTTAGCCTTAATTAGGTTAGTTCAACAAGCCCCCGCCTTCCAGCAGCCAATCCAGTTGAATGAAAATATGCTTACCCATTTTCAAATGTTGTAGCTTACTGATACAAATATAGCACTACCAATCAGAAAACCCTTGTATATTCTTCATTATAATCATTGTAAATATACCAATTTTATACAAGGCTTTCTATGGAATTAAATGAGAGTATGGAGTTTATGACCTCAGTTCCTTGTCTTCGCTGCGCCCGGATGTAGCCCTTAATTGAGAAATCTTAAGTCATAAGACTGTACCTCAAATCGCAAAGCAAGAAGGTACTATTGTCTTTGCATTACCTCGCTAATTTTTCAGATATGGACGAAAAGGAGAGTCTACACTTCTGTTATCTTACTTTGGTCCGTTTCTGCTATAATCACAATCATAGTCACGATTAAGTGTGCAGATGCACCTCGCTTCTTCTGGGTGGCTAGTGACGTTCTCCATCTTCACGGCGGTGTGCTGGATTTTGTATGTTACAGCTGAATAAAAAATGCAAAAATTATAATTCTGTGTAATTCAGTATGGTTATTATCAAAGTCTAGCTGTCAACGCTACAACAGTCATCGTCAGCACCATATCCTATGCTTACTGTTATATGAAAATCCACAATTTGAAAAGCAAGCACACGGTTAGTCCGATTTCTTATCTGAAACTATTAGAGTTTAAAAGAAAACTATTTGAATTTCTCATTTTTCGCCACATGAGGCTTATCGAAGACAAAAAAAAATACCATTGGTGGAACTTGACCCTTTTTTCCTGGACTACTTTTTCTTCTTCTTAAGCCTAAATAAAATTCCCTCTCTTTCATAGCGTGGTAGATTTCAACAAGTGCTGAGCGGCCATTGCCCAACTGACAAACCTGTGAATGCAGAGTAAAACCCTGAGTAGGGAAGAGGAGCTTTATATTACCTTAGTTGGTCTGCTCCATGTCAGTGTAAAAAAGACTTGCCATTCTTCATTTTCGTTTGCAAAATTTCTTGAAACAGTGAGTTTGTACCGGAGCACAAATTAAGGCATTAAAATGCTTATCTTGCGAGTGGTTATGAAGGCCCACAAACATTCAAAAGCTTTTGTACTCTGAAGTAGAAGTCTGGTGCGAGCAACCAGGAGTGGTAGTAATTTGGTCGAAACCATCATGTTAACTGTGTTTTCATGACATCAGCTAACCAGCAGCTTCACATGTTTTCCCATCGAAACCATGAATTAACCAATAGAATACCTCGAAATGTTATCTATAATATGTTATCTATGTTATCTATGTTATCTATAAGCAAAGTCATTGGAGGAGATCGAAACTCCAACCATTCTCATGCGTCGGCAATCATTGCACTTTACCAAATTTGCAGTTCGGTCTCCAGCCTTGCACCTTCCTATAACCTTATCTAAGCTGTAAACAAGTAAGCTTTCTCATAGTAAGTTGCAGAATGATCTCCCTCAATCTTCTTAACTTGCAAAACCAACACATCATTGTTTTAAACGAAAAAGTGGTCGGGGGTACTTTTTCATTTTAAACTATGATATGGTGGTTTCACGTCTGCTCTCATGAAATGAAATGCTATTTTCATTACTCTATCTGATAAGGAAACAATGTGTTAACCTGCTGATTAACTCATAGTTTGGTTTAGAATGAAGCAAGCATGAAACAAGTATGGTTTTCCGAAAGTAACTTGCATGTTTCATAATTTTGTATGCCGATTGAACTGAAGGCCGTAAGAAGATGATCATGCTTACCACGATGTAATCATGATTGAACCATCACATCATTCGTTGGCTTCGACCATATTACTACCACTCCAGAGAGTAGAAGACGCCAAATCCTCTATTATAGTTATTCCTATTAATCTATGATTGGCATCTTGTACAGGGCTCGTACAGGTGACTTACAAGCGAGCTCGATACCTTTTTGGGACGCAAAGGGGTCGGTTTGAAGAAACACAAGCTAGGTTAGGTTTCTTATTTTCCGTTAGGTCAAAGGTGAATTCGTTCGTTAAATTTTGCTAAATTTTGCGAAATTCAAAGGGGACTTCGTTCTTTGCATCTTCGGAATGCTGCCTCGTGCCGAGTCCTGATCTTTCATAGAAAACTAGTGCTTTATTATCTGTTTATATATTTATCTACTTATTTATTTATTTGCTGTTATTTATCTGTTTATCTATTTACTTACGTAATGCACCCGGCAGCTTAGATAGTCGCCGGGGACAGGCGGCCATGCGATTTTTGGACAAGCGGGCACCGGAAAAATAGTTCGCTGATTTCTTGAGGTCCGTTCGCAGAAATTTGGAAGAAGATTGGCCAATTTTTAGACGAATGCTCGGAGAACAATCGCGGTTTTTCTATAGATTAGTTGCGGCGCAGTGATCGCATTCTCACGGGCTTTTTTCGAGAACATGCAAAATTATTGAAGGCCGCGCGGTCCTTTGTGGAGGACCGCACAGCCCGTAGGTACCTTCCGCCGAGAGAAAGTACCCCAAATTCGAGCAATTAAACCATCGATGACACCTCTGCCACATATAGGCCCGTAGTAAACTACCGTCAGGGCATCTCCCCTAAGGCGGACCGGAGTTGATATCTTGGCGCCTCAGTCCAGCATCCAGCGGGCTATTGATCTGAATGCAGATCGCTTCCTGGACATTATAATCAAGTGCGTTCTTGAAAAAAGAACCACTTGAGCTGGTTTGGTTAAATGGGTAAGCCATTGGGATTACACGCGCGCGGCCGTGGTTCAATTCCGCCTAGCGACACAACTTTTGCTGCATCGCCGGGCAATCTTTGATAGCGGCCACTATCCAATCGATGATGACCGCTATCAAGGATTTCGCCTAGCAAACGTAAAGATAAAACAAAAAAACATTTCGTTACGAAAATTTTGCGACAAAACGATATGGTTGCAACGTGAATTTAATAAAATGAACAGCTGAGTTTTCGTTTTGGACAGCTTTAAAAAAACCAGTTAAGTTTACAAAAAAGAGAAGAATTTGTTTTTTTCTGTCTTACTCGCCAAAATCAGCTGTTCATCGATCCTCTCCTTTTCGGGCGCGGTTGTGCAACTTTGCGCCGATTTTGTCCGCAGTGTTAGGCAAATTGCTGTGTATCGTAAGTTACTCAGGAGCAACTTACGAAGATTTTCTCTGCGTTTCCTCTTTAGCACACTATTTCTGGACATCATCGCTCATATCATCTCCCATGACCCGGCAGGGAGATCATCTCCCTGCCGAACTTCACCTGAGGCTCACCTCTCAGGTGAAGTTGCATCCCTATAGCACGGGGAAATGGGCGGTCGTCATTTTACTGACAGAACCTCACATGAAGGTCTCAGGGGAGATAATCTCCCATGACCGAGCTTTACTACGGGCCATAGTCTCACTTTTGCTCGGCAGACGCTCGAGACTGCTTAGAAAGAGTCCGAGCGCCTGCTGAAAGTTTGGCCAGCGCTCGTTGAGGGAGACTATTTGACGTACGCTTGCAGGAAATTTTGCATTGCTGCCCGCTGGCAGAAAGCGGGAGTACCGCTTGCTGAAAGTTTAGCCACGCCCCAAAACTTTGCTGACCGCTTGCAGAAAAGCGCGAGTTTGCGGACCGCCTGCCCCCGGCGATTGTCTGAGAGTGCGCCAAAAAAACACAAAAAATTGAAATACAATACAACCAAACATAGACATTTGCCGCAAACACAGTGTGGAAAATGGGTCAGGGATGGTCAGATCCTTCTCCTAGTGCAAAAGACGAAGAGCGTGCAACCGAAATTTCAAATGTTCCGGAGCGTGGACGACCAACCTACTCGTGGTGAGCAAGTCCGTTCAAGACCCTGGGCGAGCGGCAAAGAAAACTTCAAGGTGAAAGAACACCACTAGGATTGAAGAGGTCAGGCCTACCCACCTGGGAGGTCGTATTGGGATGTAGACTGACGGGGGAGGTCCTATCAGTTATCGAATTCGCTCAAATCAGGAACGCTACGATCGAGTAAGGTGAGGAAGAAAAGCGCAAGAGTGGTAATATCACAATCCTATCAAAACGGAAGGAATGAACGTCGTGAATGGCATACTGATTAGCTCCACTATCGAAGTATAAGCCAAATTTCAACTCCTCTTTTTACTTTGAACATACTTTAAGGTCACTAGAAAAGCTTTGTGTGAATTGGGTACGATTCCGGTATCAGCATATCAAACTACCTTCAGGAGCCTACAAACAATTACCCATCATCTGTAGTGTTTCTTAACGTCTAAAAAGCGTGATCAAACATGGTTAACATAATATTTCTCGCTCGACCATCCTTGAATCTTGGCATTTTATTTTCAATATACATTACTTTCGGTAAGTCAGTAAGCGTAGGTTGCTATCTGTTTATCAATAAAACGACATCAGTAAACAGTTCGACGTTTCGGCAGGGTCGCCTTTATCAAGACCTGCAAAGTGATTCAATAAATTCGATGCTTCAAGGATGTGCATACCTTCAGCGATACACTTCGAGCGGCTGTCCACCAGTGTGGCACTTAGCCAGGCCACTAAATGCTTGCTCTTGTGATGGAATGAGGTTCCTTTTGAGCTCAGGCTCAAATCCATACAATGATAACAGTGGGACGAGCTCACTACTGATAACTATTTTCTCTTCCTTTCTGTTCAGTTTAGGACATTTGAACGTGATCCAACAAGCCTCTATAGTTTTTCGTGCTGCAATATCGGTTTCTTTCGAAAGGATAGCAATGTTGATTTGAAACTCTATGTTCTAATGGCAAAGCACACTATGTGCCTAGAGGCGTGGACACTTGCGATTTTCTCATTCCGTCTAAACGTTTGTTGATTTGTACACACAGCGGTCTCCCTGTTTCTTCAATATAATTTTCCCCACACGGATTCATGATATCAAGTACAGCGCCACGACACATGCAATCTCCCGCTTTGTTAGAATTGCATATCTTGCGTTCGAATACACTGCAATATATGCAATTCGTAACTTCTGTTACGCAACTTCTGTTACGATCGTGACTTCTGTTTGCACCATGCGCTGCTTGAGGTTTGGGGATGAGACTTCGAGAACTGATATGCGTTGAAGTGGCCGTCTAAGTGTTAGAGTGGTGGGCAGCGGCTTGAAGGGTATTGCTAAGGTCTACCCTTGGAGCGTCGAATTTACTGACTCACTTTCCAGGACTTGACAAAGGTGACCCTATCGAAACGTCGACCTGTTCACTAATGTCGTTGTATTGATAAACGGATAGCAATCTCGGAAATGCTTACTGACTTACTAAGAACTAATATAATGGTTAACATAGTTTGAAAAGTGAAAGAGATTACCTTTTTCATACTCATAACGAAATAATGCTCTCTGACAGTCTATGTTAGAGATTAGACTTTGTTTTGCTTTTCAAATAGAGGATTAGAAAGTGATTTTAGAAATTCAACAATCGAGTTTTTTACTGTGAGTGCTTTAACTCCAGGGATCATTACAAAGCCAAAACAAGTTCAGTTAGGGTCGAGCAGCTATTATAGGACCTTCGAGGTATGCTAGCGAATCCTGTATAAAGGGCAGAAAGCTGTTCAGAAATAAAGTTAATGGGTTTAGACACAACTCAAAAGCTCAGGCTGCCTGAGCTTTCGGGCCTTGAGCTGACCCCCTCTTAACTCGTCTTCGCAATTTAAAAATCGCTTCATTCAATGCAAAGTTGCTCATAGCCTCTTCTTGCTACAGTGAAAATTTTGAACCGAACATCCCACCCCTGGCAAAATTATAGCTCTTTTAACAGGCTCAATCAGATCAAAATCATTATTCAAACTACCTGTGCCTGTAAGAATGCAGTCGCAGAAAATCTTACAAACTTTATAAAATCAAAAACTCTTTGGGGCCAAGATGTCTTTCAGAATGTTGCACTGTGAGGGTCCGGAAGCTGAGAGGAGGAAGAAGGAGCTCTCACGAGGGGGGGGGAGGGAGGAGAGAGGGGAGAGTTCGTCTGCGAAAGACTTGTGCGTGACCTCTTGCTCAACTCTGGTCACCGCTCCTCGAACTCCTCGTATGACTATTCCCTTGTGGGACCACAGGCCAAAAATTTTTGACTCCAGAAGCTGTAAAGGACGGCTGTTCTTGTGTTTCCAGGAGCTAGAGAAAAGACTGCTATTTTGTGCTGTAGTTTCCTCTATCCCATGCGTCTTTGAAATGGGTCGCACAATATTCATACTTATAAATGGAGAAACACTGGAAATGTACATTTTGATGTCTGCCATCTGGTAAGTTAGACTACTTTGTGACGAACTTTATGTATGTCATATAATGCATCCTGAAAAATTACAATACAAAGTTTTCCTAGGTATTACGAGACAATCACAACAACAACACTCCCATTATGGCTTCAACTGGTAATAAACAACGATGTGCGAAATCGAATGTTGCGAATTATTTTCAAGCCTAGTCAACCTGTATATGTGACCCATGTTGTGACATATGCATCCGAATACTGTTCGACACAAAAACAGCATTGTTTTGTAAAGTGATTGTTGGAAGTTTGTTTGTTGGCATGTTAAAATCTTACTATGGTTTTCTAATGTACTGACTAAAGTTCATTTTGGCCTGATGAGTAGATTACCCCTACAGCGCTTGTTTCAAATGACGTGCTCCAGATTGTGGATTTTCTTCAGTCTTTGATACTATTCAATGGGTACAAACACCTCTGTATATTTTAAGAATCATGCGTGATCAAAGAAGTGCGTGACTGTCTGCGCATATTATAGGAGCAGAAATGACTGATCGAATAACATTCAATATACAGCAAGCATCCTACTCGTAATCGATTTTTATGGATATTGGTGAGATAATGATATAACCGAGGAATGGTCTGCCCATTGGCCTAGCCTTACCCTCTTATGTAAGGGTTTGGTGAGGAAAAGAAGAGAGAGACAGAGATACTATATAGACATGGAAGTAGCCTCTGGGGCAATTATGGTCCTAGTCCATCACCTCCGTTATTGCTCAGCATGAATCAGAAGTTTCAGGAATTCAAACCAGCATAGTACAGAATACGTCTGTTCGATGCTGGTTCGAAATAATTGTAGTGGATGATGCACAAGTATCTGGATGACTTAGGCCCGGTATGCACGTACATCCCCGCAGGAAGGGGAGGGGATCTGAGAGTGGGAGCTGCATATTTCGTTACTCTGTATATCTTTCTTCTTCCTTCTTTTTCTGTGATATGAAGGTTCTCATACCCTGATATCTAAGCATGATGGATGCCAGGTTACTGGCACAAATGATTAGATTTTCACCAATTTGAGTGATCCCCTCGGGATCCCCAGGGGATCACCTCTCATTTTCGTAGTCATTTATCTTGCTGAAAACTCCATGAAAATGCCGTAAAGTTGTACTGAGGATATACTACGGCACTGCTAAGCATGTTTTTGACAGAAGAAATGGAATTTGAAGATTATCAATTTTTCGATAATCCCTGGCTCGCGAGCAGCGGTTCGTCGAAAATTTCGATATCCTGAGATTTCCCTTATTTCTACTATAAACATGTTGAGCAGTACCATATTACACCCTCAGCAGAAATTTGAAACATTTTCAATAAATTTGTGGGAAGATAAATGACTTTGAAAATGAGAGGTGATCCCCTGGGGATCCCACGAAGTTATGAAAATCTAATCTTGTACGGCAACAACCTGGCATCCATTATGCGCAGGTATTAGGGTATGAGAACCTTCATATCACAGACAAAGAAGGAAGACGAAAGATATACAGAGTAGCGAAATATAACGCTTCCCCTCTCAGATCCCCTCCCCTCCCCGCGGGGATGTACGTGCATACGGGCCTTACAGGCATAGGAAGTATACTGCTAATAATTAGTAGTCGGTTTCTAATGCTATGATCTAGTTGTTTGCTGGAAGTGGTGCAGTGTCAGACTAGCTTTACCTGAGACAGTTGTGTTGAATCATTTCTTTGATTCGCCAATGGCGGCATGTTTATTCGACTCAACTGTTTACTCACTTAACTTATCAGTACTTTGAATTGTGTTGGCGCACTTTGTGCATGCAATAATATATAAAAATAAATAAAAGAGATCTCTCAAGTACACAGTTGAGGGCAGTGTCTGGGAGAAAACTTAGTTGTTTCTTGCAGCAGTTAAGCACGGGGTAATTAAACGAATGGTTTTGGATATTTTTGCGATAATATATGGCGTAAGAAGTTCACAGTCAAGCTTAACCAGTGACTTCTCTCTAGAGTATTAAACCTTGTCTGTTTCTCAAGGAGTTATCGTACTTCACAGCAAGAAATAACAAGGAAGGTTGGTAAAAGTGGCCTTTTGAAATGAATTGTATACTGCCTTGTAGGGCTTGGAACGCTTATTCCAAATCTACCTTTGTTATCTGCTGCAGGCTTCTGAGCGAGGAGTTATGAAGGTTTTTGTGAGTAAAATCTGAATGCAAAAATAGGATGAAATCAGAAAATAGGATAAAATCGTGACCCTTTCCCAATGTTCAAATGAGCAGCACTGGTATTTTGAATCAAGGATATTTGTTGCACCGAGTGACCCGACTAACCAATTAAGAACTATAAAAAATGTTACGACTGATTTTAGCCTACTCTTGCATTCAGATTTTTACTCACAAAAACCTTCATAACTCCTCGCCCAAAAGCCCGCACAGATAGCAAAGGTAGATTTGGATTAGCGTTCCAAGCTCTACAAGGCAATATATATCTCATTTGAAAGGCCAGTTCGACCAATCTTCCTTTCCTTAAGAAAAGCAAGATGTAAACTTTTCAACTTCCTTTCCTTAAGTAAGATGTAAACTTTACAAAATGTTTGTAAAATGTGCTCAAAGATCATGAAACTTAGAAAAGTGAAACGAAATTAGGCTGACAAGTGTGTAACTTCCAAGCTTTCAAAAACATAAGATGTGTAAATGGCATATCAGAGAACTTTGTTTCTGGTTATCGTTAGTATTCTCATTTTTCTTTCAATCTGTTCAATTTTCGCAAAAAAAAAATTCTCGACACATTCTCTGTAGAGAAAAAAGTGAACTAAATCGTGTGAGTGACACGGGAATGACACTGGGTGTCGAACTGCAATGCACAGCCAAGTGCATACCCTGTCCTCCCAAGCTGTGAAAGAGTTCGACGTTTCCGGTTTCGGCCAGATGCCTAGCTAGCCGGCCTGGCCGGACCCACGCCGTCTGGTTTTGAGGTTGCTAGGCGGTTTTCCCCGCTCCACATTAGGTCAGCGATCGCCTACAGCGCTGGCTGGATCAGCGATGGGGTCAGCAATCGCTTCGCGGAAATCAAAGTAGGCCTAGTATGCCCGCTCTTGTAGGGAAAAATTTTCATTACTCCGCCAGTTAGAAGAAAGAAACTCTGCAAATCGGATCCCGCCTACAGCGCTGGCTTGTAACAAGAACGATGTCAGGGTCCTCAGGGCGCCTTTTGGATTGGACAAAAACGACACGTCTGCCCAGGCGACACACCATGCTCAGCACCTACACACCATGCCAGGACAGTCTCCACAAACGCCGACCTCCACGCTCTTCTCGACGCTGCAGAGCACATCAAGTACCATCTCATCGCTATGCAGGCAACGAACTCCAGGAAGAAGGACGTACGACAGATGAGTGATGGTACCCTTATCCTTGGTGGTGAGAAGGTTCTACCACGAAACGCTGGAGGCGTTGGCTTTGTCGTAAACCCATCCATCATCCATCTTGTCGGTTCGCTTGAGGTCCTTTCACTTCGACTAGCTATCCTACGACTACGTCATAGAACCATCAGCATCATCAACTGTTACTCTCCAACATTAGCAGCTGACGATTTAGAACTAGATGCTTTCTGCAACAACGTGGAGGAGGTCGTCCGCAACGAAACGTCCTTCTACAAGTATGTTGTGGGCGACTTCAATGCGAAAAACGGGATGCCACTAGAAAAGGAATATAGGATCGGGAAGTTTGGATATGGGCTCCGAAACGAAAACGGCAACCGTCTTGTTGGACTTCTCTCCGCCGCACGACTCTTCCATGGAAACTCCATCTCCATGAAGAAAAAACATCGCCGGTGGACAGTGGAATCGCCCAAAGAACGATTCATGCGGAGATCGACCATATTCTCATCAACCGATGGAGCTTGCTCGATGTCTCAGTAATTGCATCCTTGTGCAGTGGCTCCGATCACCGCCTCTTTGAGCGGGGATGCGATTCAGTTGAAAGCTGGAAAAGAAAGTTTGTCACACTGTCGCAAGAAGGAAGGAAGTCGTTTATGACGGTAACAGGCTGGAAGAGCTCATATCAAGTTGTGACTGGCCCAGGAGGACCCAATCAACGACTACGACTGCTTTCTGGAAGGATTGCGAGCCTGCAGAGAGTGCGTCTCAGTGACTTCCGAGACGAACTTGGAACGTATTTCGAAGACTACCAAGGAATTGTTTGAAAGAAGAAGTTTTCTGGGGAAGGATCCGAATGCAATCCATCTCGAGCGAGTGATAGTCAATGCCAGTTGCAAAACAGCATTGCAGGAGAATCTCAGAAAGTACAGGCAAGCCAAGATACTGGAAGCAGCCAAAGGAAGACGAAGTTTCAAGACGCGCTTCTGTGAATATCTAGTGACGCTGGCCAAACTTCGAACGAAGACGGTTTCCGACTTTTTCCCAATACAAGGTGGAATTATCGCGAAGGACTTCTAACCAACTTCTTTCGCTCATCAGCACCCGTGCCGGTATCCGTTGGTATCACTGGAGAAGTACTCCCTTGAATTCTACCTACTGAAGGTGCGCACACCGATTCAGACCATGAAGACGTTTACGGCTCCAAGACCAGACTATCATCCCGTCGAATTCCTGCGAGCGGGAGGACAACGTCTGCACTAGATTCTCGCGTCTCACCTGATATTTTACCTTTAGAAGGAAAGGATTCCCGACCAGTGGAAAACTTGAGAACCGATCCCTCTTCAAGAAGGGCGAACGGGAGGATCTTCGGAACTACCGAAGATCCTCCCGTTCGCCGAAAGAACCGTTCAATGTGCCTGCTGAGCGTGTTATACGAGCTTTTCACGGTAGCTATCTTCGCTCGCATATCTAGGGCCCTCGATAAAGCCCAGCCCAAGAAAAACGTGGATTTCGCAAGGGATTAAACTACAAGGACCACATCCAGACGGTTTCAAATGTCATAGAATTCTGCCGGAGGTACAGACTGCCTCTCGTTCTAACCTTCGCCGATTACGAGAAACATCAAAACCAACGTCATCCTGTCTGCGCTAGTCGATCAAGGAGGGACTCAGCTTACGTGAGGACACTGACCAACTGCTACAAGGACTGTACAACAACGATGCAGCTATTCCATCGCCCCCTGACCATCCCATTGGGAAGGGCATCCGACAATGCGGCACAATCTCGCTGAAGCTGTTCACAGCGGCCTTGCAGTGGGTGTTGAAGTCACTGGACTGGGAAGAGAGAGGCATACGAGTTGATGGGAGATCCCCATCCAACCTTCGTTTTGCGGATGACATCGTTCTCTTCTCGAACAGTATTACCGAAGCAGAGACGATGCTGAAGGAACTGAACGAAGTAGGGAAGAAAATCGGACTGCGAATAAATCGGAAGAAGATTCAATTCAGGATGAACGCTTTTTGCGAAGATGCAGAAATGGAATTTGAAGGCACCCCTATCATGAAGACGTCTTCTTACGTGTATCTCGGACGTTCAATGAACATAGAGAACAACTTGAGGGGAAAACTCAACAGGAGATGAAGAGCAGCCTGGGCCGCCTTCGGGCCTCTGAAGGAAGCCACCGACAAACTGAAGTATGCGGAGCTTAGCATCCATCTGTTCACTCAACGTTTCTCCCGGCGCTCTGTTACGCAGCTGAGACTTAGGCCGACACTTAGCCACGTCGGAAGCTCTAAGAACCACCTAAAGAGCGCTTAAGCGCAGTCTTTTGAAGATGACGCGACACAAACATTATCTTGTCAAACATCGCATTACGAATATGGGAACAGTATTGTCCCGTCTTCGTCCCCACCGGAATACGTTGCGAAAGCGAAGCATTGATGAGCCGGTCACATCATGAGAAGAACAGAAGATGGACACTAAGAACATCAGAGTGGATTCCTCGCCAAGCAAAGTCCCCGAGAAAGACCTTCAACGAGGTGGGCAGACGTGTTCGTGGCCAGCTGAAAAATCAGCTGGATGCGATTTTTGCCCCTGGAACTCGTGGACGCAGCCACCTGCGACAAACAAGAACATCGTGGATTCCTGAAGCTAGGGACTTGTACGTCACGAGAAGACGAATTTAAGTATCTAACAATAAGTAACTAAAAAGAGAAGTAAGGTAATTTAAATTTGCTTCTTGAGCGAATGCAGTTTCAAACTCTGATTCCGAACATGCTGTATTTGGCTGCGGAGCGTTATTTTGAAGCGAGTTATAAACTTTTTTCTGCCGGAAATTGGCATACTATATAACATGGGAATGCCGCCTGTTAGTGGAAGTCTGCCCCAGAACGGTGCTGGGGTACTAAAACAATCAGATGAGTCTTTTGTCATTGACAAGATACCCAACTCAATGAATCAGTACTTAGATGATGATACTGCAATGCCAGTAGGTCAAAGATTATGCACATTTTGCACGGAAAAAAATCAATAACTCGCTTCAGAATGATGTGCCGCATTAGGCAGCATATCTGGAATCAGCATTCGAAGCTGATCCCAGACAAACGTGTTTCATCCCAAACCCTAATCCACTTACCTGGCTCCCTTGTATAGGGGCCTGAGGATCGCGAGAGTCGGACGTGCGTACGGCCAATGCGCCGCACGTCAGATCACGTCCGACGACTCAGTAGGTGCCAGACTTATCCTGTTCAACAAGTTCATTCGGTTCACCACCTTTTCTGTTGGACAGTGTAGTGATTTGACCTATGAACCGAACCGGTTGAAGCGGATAAGTCTGGCACCTGCCTTAGTGTCATCAGACGTGCGCGGCGCAATGGGTCGAGTTCAGAAAAAAAATCAGGTGCGTCTTGTACTCGTGAAATTAGGGTATACGAACTCTCCATGTTCGTATTGTAAATACTTTGCGCTCGAAGAATTCCTCATGACTAACAACGACAGAAGCGCGAAGTCTCTCACAGGCTTTTATCTATTATTTTGTTAGCAGTTAGCTTATCTGTGATATTCTCATGCTTACTGACGTTTTGTTTATATTCGCTTACATATATAAGTGGCCGGCACATAGTTTAGCGAGCACTGATTATGATTTTATGTTTTGTATCTCATCGTTCAGTTGCTTCTTTATTTTCCCACAGTTGCCTTACTGACTCACGGAGTTCACATTTTTCAATGTCCTTTCACGGATCGCTCACGGCAATTCACAGGATATCCGGTGGACATATACTGCATCTATACTCCTTACGTATTATCCTCTTAGCGCTTTATAGTTGTTAGTTGCTTCTTAATAATAAAAGGTCAATTTGAAATTGCTCTCAACTATGCGTGCGTACGTGTAAGTCCCGCGTGGCAGCAGTTCGAGTTCACAGCCCCGAAAGCAATTAATAGGGTGGCAATACTTCTACCCTTATGCAGTCAAAGTACAGTTGTTTAGAAGTCACGATATTTATGCACACCTCAAAAGCAAGTGTGAAAGCATGAAAAAAAATTTATGAAGCAGTTCGACCATTATTTGTGTTCACTCCACTTTCAAAGTTCAGCAAGGATAATGATGTAACATTTTTTTGCACTATGAAAGTTGCTTCAAGGACTTTGCTTCTATCCTTAGACGGAGGCGAGAAGATAGAAAGTTTGAAAGTTTTTATTTTTTCAAGTGCTAAGATGACAATGATGAACTACTATTGCAATACCTAGTTGATGTGTTTTTAATAGTGTTTTAACATTTTTTTTAGATTCTCGCCTTTCCCGATATATTTCAATCTGACTGTCTTTTATTTTGACTAGTGAAATTTGGAAGAGCGTTCGATTCGGGAGCTGCCGCAGTTTCCCGCTATTTCCCGCTATCGGAAGATTTTTGAATTGAGCTAACGATTCTTTATACATTAGATCTGGTAATTTCATTTCTATCTTATCTTGACAGTGAACTGCTGTAGCCCTTTTTTTCATTCATACTTCCAGCACTTTTTTACATTTTGATGTAGTTATGTGGGAAAGATCTTTCGTTGTTCATAATATTTTTGTTAGCCAAAGAAGTCCACTAGAATATCGGGACACAAAGTACACTTGCAGAATTTCCAGTGTTTTATTGAAGAGCCGTTCGATGACTGAACGTTGCTTTAGCAAATATGAGCAAGCTATGCAGTCAAATATGCAAACACGAAAAAATATACAAGTAAACGGGAACACGTCATGATCATTTTGAGTAATCGTACCACATAAGTGAAGATAAGAAGCGAATGATGCAAGGCTCATAGCATATAAGTCAAATATTACGGTGAAAGACAAATATTATGTAAATATCAGCAAATAGGAACGTGGTGGCAAAAAATAGATTTTTGACAAGCAGTAAGCATTTTTTGAAACATTTTTCAAACGTCGGGTGAACCATGCTCCTGTCTAATCATGCGTGGATAAATATGAAAGTAAAGCAATAATTTGGGAGGGTGATAGATACTGAATAGTAAAAAAATTCAACAAATTCAAAAAAATTTGGTCCAAATGGAGTGAGTTGATGTGCTTCAAATCATGACGCTTTGTGCTTTAGCAGCAAACTGTTGTTCATACCGATGGTCGAAGCCTGCTGAACCGGCCCAACACCTAAAAGATAAGATTTCATAAATTAAATAGATTTTTCAGCCATGAAAAATTGGAGTTCCCAAAAATTGTAGATACTGAATCTAATATATAAAGCATCCTAAGGTTCATTTAAAAATCATCAGATAGCGGGAAACCGAGCAGGCCCCAAAGCCGCCTTCTAGCACCTTTGAGATTGTTGGTTCACTAATTACAATATAATTTGGCAATAAAGTCCTTTGTGGCGGCCGAAATTATGTCTGTGATGTGCAAACGCGACGCGAACGCGCGCATAAAGATGCGAAGTGGCTGCAAAGCAGCAGGCGCAAGTTTCAAACCCAAAAAATGTCTTAATCGGCAAATACAAACCTGAAGTGGTAGACATGCCGAGAGACCTTCCGGGACGGTGAGGCATCCAAATCGGTGAATATGATACGTAAACGACATAAGTTTCGACGGTCCAACACCCAATTGCATTGTACGCCGTAATCAATCACTCTGAAGCGCATAAGATGATTACTGATTACTTGAATAGATATCTAGGGCACATTTACCTAGCAAGATGGGGAGCTTGCTGTTCAGTGGTGCGCACACTTAGATGCTGAATATTTGGCCAATAAACCTGCAAAAAGAAAATTCATCAGTACATCAAAACTTGTGTTTACTGTTATATTTTACAAAAAAATATGCGCATGCTTTAGTGCATCTACACACATCATGAGCAAATTAACGACTTGTATGATATGATATGTAGTGTACAGCTGCATTAGACCCGCTAAAAACCACAAAAGAACATGTTTTGCCCAGTTTGTGCACAGCATTACAGTCTGTGTCACGTACGCCCTTCTGCGTACGAATTACGCCCCGCAACGCGTGGTCCTCGCGTGGTGCCTCCAATCGATATGGTCGCTGTAAATGCCCAAGCCATACGCGCGCGAAGCTGTCGCGTAGCGAGTGCGCGATTGACACAGAGTATAACTGCCCTCATTTCCACGTAATTGAAAGAAAAGCAGGTCCTCACCTCTCCAGGATTCACGAAATCGCAATCCATGTGCATATCTTCATCAAATACATCCATGGCTTTCATAAAGCACTGGAAAGCATACCACCGATTCAGGTCCAGTGCCGATAATGATACAACTAACTAAAATAGTTTATTTTTTGCAAAACACAATAGACTATAAAATGCAGAAAAATGAGTTGAAACTCACTAATTCAGCAATCGGAGCATCAATTGTAGCTTCGAGTATCGTTTTACGATAGACACTCATTGCTCCGACGACAGTGGACACATCACGGGAAGTCCATCTAAATGCACACGTATGCTTAAAGTAGTAGTGGGTCCCGAGTGGAATATTTACCTTGAATCAACGACAATTTTTGCTGTATTCATACGCATTTTCAACGACACTTGAGCGTGTCGATGTCGTGCCCAACCTCGGCCAGACGCTGTATCAATGTCACGTTTTTCGACATTGAGATGAGTTATCTAGAATTATTTTCTTCGCATTTTTAAGAAAACAACTTTTTAGGATTTTTATTACCTTCTTAATTTTTTTGTCTACGTGACTCTTGATTGTCTTGCACACAGCCCTCATTCTTATCTGTTCTATTGCGTCACACTGGTCAATGATACGCAATAACAGATCATCGGGTAGGCGTGGCTTGTCCTCCGCTCGTTCGTTTCTTAGTAATCCTTTGCAAGAAGATGCTTTTCGCATCGTTTCGGTGATATTCTGAAATAATAAAACATACTTATGGTAAAAATCTAGAAATTATAGCGTGCGCAGAGCCGCAGTCGCGACCACGCTGCAACCGCGTCTCAGCCGCACCGCTCGGGGACTTTACTCACCTTCTCAGCATTTTCTTGATTTCTTCGATGTCTAAAAGACAGACGACGAATCAGTTGTAGTGGCATGATTTTCTCACGAATACGGCTGATAGTCGATAAGTGATTTTCAAGCTGAAAATGCAATTTTATCACATAAGGTCCTACTAGGAAATGAAAAGAGAGTTACCATAGCACGCATACGACTTGCAAGTTCTAGCAGAACACAAAACATGCAACGGAGTGCAGAAAACAGAATAGGCGTGTCTCCAAAGGAAACGAAAAGAACAACAAAAACATCAAATGTTTACACTCAGTTCGTGCACCCCATTAATTGTGCGTTCCTACTTCGGACGGTTTGTGTACAGTTCGAGAACAAGTGGTTCAGAGAAGATAAACAAAGAAGCGCGACACGAAGTGATTGCGAGACACTTTAGGGATGAGCAATGCGTATATCTTGCCCGTTTCGTATTTTTAAGTGCAGGATTTGGTTCTGGAAAAAAAGCTGGTCCGGATCTGCTGAACCGCCGGAAACAGTCTCGGGAACATGAAAAGCAAATAAATTATCAAAATAGATTGCTGTGGTTTAAGACGAAGTTGACTGAGACTCCTTACTTTCACATGCAAGCAAAAAAAGCAGCAAAAATGGAGTAAGAGGGGGTAGCAGTAAAAGGAGGGCAGGGAATTAAATTTGTAAAAAAAATTAGTCACATGCTTAGCGTAAGGTATGCAGACTATTTTTTTTCTCTTCAATGATTTCACAGGTTCTTATTCGATAAAGCAATAGAATTGCAAAAACTATGCAACTTTTTCAAGCGAGAACTGGTCCCCGAGCAATTTGCAGGGGACCAGTTTTCGTTCAAAGAAGTTGTAAAGAGCTTAATGCGCAAGTTATACCTAAGCTAGATATATATGACGCTAGCACAATAACTAAAATAATTTCTGAGTGAAGGTGGGAGAACTTTGTGGAATGATCGTTCCGGGGACAATGAAGTAAAGTATGTGGAGGGGACCAGTTCTCGTCCAAATTTTTCTGGAAAATGTACTACACTGCTATAAGGTTTAGATTCATGTACAGGACTGTAGTACAGCAACTCAGTTCATTTTCATTCCAGAAATGGAAAAAAAGGAAGAAAGTCAAAATCAAAATACCGTAATTGTCTAGTCAATTCAAAATTTCATCTGTCAACTCCACTCTCCTCCCCCCCCCCCCTCCGCCCTAGAGTTTTCCGTTTTTGTTAACGCCTAATTGTGACAGACACATTACATATTACAGTAAACCATTCGCAAGAATCACTGAGAACAAAAAGGTTCCACAGACACGATTATGGTTGGACATAATATATCACGAACGCGTTAATAGGTGTGTCGTAGTAATAAAACACACCATAAAGAAATCGTAATCGAGAGATGAACGGTATGTGTTATATAAACTGCTGTTCCGCCCATGGGGCGATGTGATAGGGGCCGATCCGACAGCAGCGACGCTCTGCGATGCGCGCAAATGCGCACGGTGGGCGTGCCGAACGGGAATTGTTGAAAGAACTGTGGAATGTGAACGGACTAGACTAGGCATCCGACAGACAATGCAGTTAACCAGCTCGATGGGCTCTGCCAGAGGACTAGTCAGCGATCGTTGAAGCCTTGTTAGTCAGCGGCTTTTAGGATCTTGGCAAACAAAAAATACTTTTTCTAGCAAATATGTCCTGTTTCAGGCCAGAATATAGGGAGCAAAAAATAAGATCCAAAATTTACGGTTTCACGGTCAGAATATGTATGAGGCTAAGGACCACTTAGCGATCACTGATTGCTGGTCAGCTCTCAAACTCTTGCCAAACAAAAAACTTTCTACAATAAAAATTTACGGTTTCAGAGTTGGAGTACATAGTGAGCGAAAGGGTCCACAACTTTTCTCAATATTTACCGTTTCATTCTCGGAATATATAACGTATACAGTGCGAGTTACAATTTACAATTTCAAGATCAGAATATATCATAGAGGAAATGATGTCTTCGATGTATCTTCTCTGCTTTGGAGAATATATTTGTGCATTTTATCTTCTAATTGAGTGAGTGTAATGTGCAATCCCACGAAAAAATACTTCTGTAATCACCGTTTATTTTTTTAAATGAAATAATGTGATGGTAAATGAGATACGAAAACATAGAGAAGTATATCTAGCTCCTTCGAATGAAAAACTACCGTATTTCTTTCAAAGCTGCCCGATTAAATCAAATCAAAATTTATTATAATTTATCTTGGCATTTCACGCCTAATTTTTACCATCTACTGACTGTTCAACGATTTTCTGTGGATAATTTGATGACGTCAAAAGTTTCATTTTTCTAATCAATCACCTCTGGAAAAAAATACTTTCAATCTTGGTGGTCCCACATTTGGCAGTATATCATAACAAATCAGTCTAAAAAATACCTAATAAATTGTGATGAGCTTGTTAACCTAAATTTCAAAATTGCAATCTGCCCAAGACGCTTACATTTTTTTCGCGCAGTTTCTGCCCTTGGCAGATGGAAGGAAAGAGAAGAAAGTGTTATATATTTCATAATCGTACAATTTCAAAAATACTTTGTGATACCCCATTCTAAAATTTATAATTGTACAATGTGGATTTTTATCTTACCACACAATCTTTACAGCATCGAAAATTTGGAATAATTCCAGAGTACCAGATTTCAAAAAAAATGATGAATACCATGTAGAAAGTTGATAAGAAAAACCATATGGTTGATTTTTGATTGTTGAAAGTTATGAAGATTATAACAACACTAAAACTAACCGGATCTGAATGATTGAAAAATATATCAATCATCGGAGGGGAGCGGTTGACACATGTGACTTAGGTGGTAAAACACAAACTATAAGGAAACAAATAGTCCAAAAGCAATTATCATGAAAATTGAATATCGGATCGGAATAAGTGAATGGAATGAAAGATAGAAGGTACAATGGGACATTCAAATGCAAATTCGGGACGTCTCGGAAGAGAGGAGAAAACCGGCTTTTATTGAAAGCCTCGTTCCGTGTGTTGCCGTCCGCACCCTTCACACTTTGGGTTGATCTTATAGTCATCAACTGGGCGGAAATCGCCCCCTTCAGGGTAATAAACATGGGCGAACATTGGTGATAAGGCGGTGATAATGCTTAATTAAGCACTCACAGACTAGAGAATGGCAGGCTGAAACACTACAGCATGACGTAAACTTCGCTAAAGGAGAACGCCTCCTGGTCATCAAAAAATTTAAGCCCACGATTGGTCAACATGACATCATTCTACCACATAATAAAGATCTTATGGAAAATTCTTATGTTGAAAAGAGAATCTATTATTTAATTTAAAGAGTAAAGAAAAGTATGGTTCAGGCGTTTATATGTAAGAAGAAACGTTTTGTTAAATTTTTCAAGTTGAAAATACATTAGCAGTGAGGTGAGCTTTGTGTGAAACAGAATTATTCATCAAATTTTTGACAGCGAAAATATACTACTGTTGAAGTTGTCATTTTTGAGAAACAGAAAAACTCCTAGATACTTTTACAACAAAGAATATTATAATGTATCATTGAGGGAATGTTTGTGAAGCAAAATCTTTTTCAAAGTTCCGAGATCAAGAAGTTCGTAATACATTGGAATTGATGTCCGTTTGAAACAGAAAAATTTTGTAGATTTTTGAAATCGGAAAGATTTATAACAAACGGCAAGTATATAAAATAGGAAATTTTTATCAATTCTCAAAACAGAAACCCAGATGATAACATTGATGAAGGTGAATGTTGAAGGTAAAGGTGTTTCAAGGTGAATTATAAATTAATGACTTTGGTAATCATTGATATTGATATTTCGATAATAAAAAAATAATTATTTGAATTTTCTTTCATCGAAACATAGATGTTGAGAACTAAAGGCGCAAAAAAGGACTACTTAGAATTACGCACAAAATCATTCATAATTAAAATAAGAATACATATTGCGAGTAAAAATATATTCGCGAAATTTCAATATCAAATTATAATAAATTTGAAAGAGTATGTTTTGGTGTTTTACCTTCTTCACAGATTGCCTTCGCAAAGGTTGGAAGAAGAGGAAAGAAAGAAGCTGAACTTAGTTTTGAAATATCAACCACAAAACGACGTTTAAATACTTAATCTTTCTGAAAAACTGAGAAACTCTTCGACTTTGAGATACCGATTCTGTAAAATTTTCGGTTACACTTCATGGGTCACGCTACAGACCAAAATTTTTCGCGACTTTTCGGAGATTTTCAAAGACATTTCTAGCAAGTGTTACGGCGCCATATACGAACGGATCCACACGACTTGCTGACGTCACTGCGCTTTGACCAATGACGAATGAAGGATGCAATTGAATGGGAAGATTCCCGGCTAATTTGATGGGAAAATGGGAATGGGAATCGACGTTAAGATTGAGAAACTGCTGCAGAAGTTCCGGAAAGTTAGAGTTGAGGATTTGCTGGAGCTTTTCGAAAAATAAAAGTGCTAGGAAACTGTTGCGGAATTTTCGAAAAAGTGTGAGTGTTACGGTCTGCAACACTCCGAGGCATAGGGCCCTAAGCCCATATTTATACTCGATGTTTACGTTGACGCTCTTTGCATGAACCGGTGTGTTTTGCGGTATGTTCGTCGACAAGCCAACAAGCACAAACGTTCGTCACTCGCTTAACGACGACGACCTCCGAATCCTAGCCGACTCACCAAGGTGACCCACTCATGTGACTGTCCGAATCAGCCCGGAAAGAGGTGTGCCGCATTCTTCTAGCTATTTTGGGGTTTCTTTATATAGATGGGAACAACATGTGCTTCAAAAGACCGCGGGGGTGAGGGGAGTCGCTCTTTAGTCTTGGGAGAGAAAAGGATCACGTGACTTGTGAAGGGTCATAAGGTCTAGCGGTTATCGGAATTACGGTAATTCTATGATTGCTTGTTGAGACGATCACGAAAAATGCAGGAAAATGTTTATTGCAGACTAATTTTGGTTTTAATGCATAGGTACAGTTCCCTGTCTTAGAAATAGTGCATTAAAACTTATCGCTCTTGTTCTGGAACTCGGACACACACTGTTTAACCGTCCTCCCCCCCCCCCCTCCCCCTCCCCTCCTCCC